TCCAGTCTGAGTAATGCTCACACATGTCTGCTGTATGTCCAAGCCCGTTGCACACAAAACCTCATTCACCCCTTCCCTCCATCCTTTTCTATGATGACCCCTATTGCTTTTAATGTTTTATATTGTCATAAAATCCATGGGGTTGCAGCTACTACCCCATGCAATATCCTGCAGATGCCTATCCAGATACTTTTCCCTATATAAGGGATGGGATAATACCAATTTTTTGGCCAATACAGATGACTCAGTTTTAGGTTGTTACCATTAACCCTTTGAGGGTCCGTCCCGTAGATCTACGGCTTTACGTTCAGGGTCCAAACCGTAGATCTACGTCATGAGCTCAGCTCACTCTGATAAACTGTGAGTGGTACATTTGGGCCTAGATATGAGAGAATACATCTATGTGGTATGTGTGCACCACATAAAACAGATCCTGCAGCACGCTGTGTATAATGAGAGGAAAAAATTGAAATCATGATTTTTCGATTAAAACAGCGACTTTGCAGTGTTTTTTCGTATGTTTTTTATAGCTCTATTTGCGATTCTTAGTCTCATTTGATAGAATGGAAGTCATATTACAGAAATAGAGATGATTTTGATTTGTTTTAGCACTGGAAATGGCTTGAATCTGAGCTCAAAGTAGCAGAAATGTTAAATTTTTGCCGATATTCAAGAGTAAACAAACGACCTCACACATCTAATACATGCCAGCTGGTGGGTCTAATATGCATTCACAAATATGGTGATGATATTTATACAATTATTACAGTATTGCATCACAGTAAATCTTCTATTTTTTGGTGTGAATAAAAATTCATTATGTGAATAAAAAATCAAAATGGAATTTATTTCTAAAGCCTCAAAACGTAACTAATGAACAGAGGAAATGTTAGTTTAGTTCCAGGAATACCTACATTGTTTATTCTGGACCCTATTTTGAATTTGGAATATTTTGAACTTTGTGTTAAATTGGCCAAATTAACAATTTCCGATCACTTTAATTTGTAGTTGAAACAGTTGACTTGGCGATTTCTTGTGCTCAATCGATAGAATAGAAGTAATACTAGTGAAATAGCTAAGAATTTGGTTGACTGGAATAATGTAATTGGCCTAAAATGGGAGTCAAAGTTGGCAAAATTGCCGATTCGTAAATATCGCTGACACATCAAAATTCGTGAGAGCATAATTTCGTCAATTTTCCATCAAATTTTGTACTTTTTGTTTTATTACCTTCACAAAAAGATTCTCTACCATTTCATAAGAAAAAATATTTTTTTTTTTTTTTTTTAAATTCTTGGACACTGGGGCACCACTTCAGATTTGGGCCTTGGACCCTGAAGGGGTTAAAATTAGCCAATACCCACCAGTACCTATGCCAGTACCATCAATATTGGCTGGTACCTGATGATTCCGATACTCAGTTTTAAGCCAATACTGGTGCCATCAAAATTGGCCAATACCATTGCAGATACTTTGGCACAACAATACCCAAATATATTAGCAAATTCTTTATTCCTTCAAACACACGATTTTACTTGACCTTTGCTTTCTCCTTATCTCCCTCCTCTCTGTTTGTTTTCATAGTGTTTTTTGGTAAAAATCCTGGATAGACCAAAGTGTTTCCAATTTCCATTTACAATTTGTGGGTTTGTGATATGATAATATTGCTTTCAGTAAGATATCAATGGCCTCTGGACCCTTTCAGGGTCCAGAGGCCAAATTTCAAAGTGTGCACCAGGGTCCAAGAAATTTCAAAAAATAATTTTGTTATTTTTTTCTTATGATATGGTAGAGAATCTTTTTTGAAGGTAATAAAACAAAAAGTACGAAATTTGATGGAAAATTTACGAAATTATGCTCTCGCGAATTTTGGTGTTGCAGCGATATTTACCCATCAGCGATTTTGCCGACTTTGACTCCCATTTTAGGCCAATTACATTATTCCAGTCGATCAAATTCTTAGCTATTTCATTATGTTACTTCTATTCTATCGATTGAGCACAAGAAATTGTCAAGTCATTGTTTCAACTACAAAATAGTGATCGTAAATTGGTAATTTGGCCAGTTTAATGCAAAGTTCAAAATATTCCAATTTCAAAATAGGGTCCAGAATAAACAATGTTGGCATTCCTGGCACTAAACTAACTTTTCCTCTGTTCATTAGTTAAGTTTTCATGCTTTACAAATGAATTTCATTTTGATTTTTTATTCACATAATGAATTTTTATTCAAACCAAAAAATAGAAGATTTACTGTTATGCAATACTGTAATAATTGTATAAATAATATCACCACATTTGTGAACGTATGTTAGACCCACCAGCTGACGTGTATTAGACGGGTGAGGTCATTCGTTTACTCTAGAGATTATTTTTAAGGCAGTGTAGGAATTCAACATTGGTACACAAATAACCCGCACATAAAAAGAGAGAAGCTTACGATGACGTTTCGGTCCGACTTGGACCATTTACAAAGTGACTTTGTAAATGGTCCAAGTTGGACCGAAACGTTGTCGTAAGCTTCTCTCTTTTATGTGCGGGTTATTTGTGTATCATTCCAGTCATGGTATTGTGCCTTTTTTTGTTATTTATTCAACATTGGAGCGGAGGAGAGAGAGGTACATGATAATATATACCTGGAAGGTACTCGAGGGCTTGGTCCCAAATCTGCACACTGCCATAACAACATACTGGAGTGAGAGATATGGGAGGAAGTGTAAAATAAACCCAGTAAGGAGCAGGGGTGATAAGGGAACATTGTATCAACATCCGGGGTCCCAGACTTTTCAACATCTTACCAGAAGATATCAGAAACACTGCTGGAACAAGTGTTGAAGCCTTCAAGAGGAAACTAGACAAGTATCTTCATCAGGTGCCAGATCAACCAGGCTGTGATGGATATGTGGGGCAGCGGGCCTCCAGCAGCAACAGCCTGGTTAACCAGGCAAGCACCAGACGAGCCTGGCCCATGGCCGGGCTCAGAGAGTAGATATACTCTCGAAATTCTTCAGAGGTATATCAAAGGTATACCAACTTAAAAAATTCATTTGAAAGCATGGTATAATAGTACCATTGCAGGACAGGATACAAATTCTATGGCATGCTCTCTACATACACTTGAACTGTTTATCCATGATTATATTCTGGAGCAGAGAGTAATAAAAGATATCATTGTTAGCTGTAGACAGATAGTGAGCCACTTAAGTCATTCTCCTCCAGCCGGCAGTAAACTAGAGGTTCTTCAAGAACAAAATGAACTACCAAAACCAAAGCTCATTCAGGATGTACCTACCTGCTGGAATAGCACTTAATGATAGATTTCATCTGTGAACAAAAAAAAATAGCTATTGCAATGTATTGCTTAAATAACACACATTCCATCATTTAATGGAAGCAAGTAAAATCATATTGCCCCATTATCTTTGTTGAAAATATTTCACAAAACTGTACGTCTTAGTGTAAGAAATTGTCAGTCTTCAGAAAAAATGCCTCGTGTACAATATATGAAACATTTCATGACCAAAGCTTTCAGTGATCCAAGGGTCTCAGGCTTGGGTAGTATACTCTCAGCTCTCAAAGTGTCTGGGTTCAAGAGTTACTCCACTGACTACAACACTGCTTAGTACATTTCTAGATCACTGATGTAACAATAACTTATTCAGTGCCAATGCAGTGGATGAGTTGTGTAAAAGAAATCATAACATTATTGAGAATGAACTAAAAGAAACCTGGAAGAGAATTCCACAGCTCAAGAACTCAGGGAGCCTAACTGTTTTGCTAGCAGCATCAAGCAGAAACTGGTCCGATGAAGAAAGTCGAGATGTAACAGGGATTGAAGAATTTCATAAATTTAATTTTGACAGGTGTCATAGACATGTGCCTTTGGATCCATCTTCAAATCACAAAAAGAAGCATCCAAAAACTAGCACTCTGGTATTCGTGTTACCATAAACATAAAAAACAAATAGTCAGATATAGCGTGCATTTCCACTACAAGGAAGTAATGTGATGTCAATTTTTAAAATAGTCAGATATATGGCAGTGGCATTATGCTACCACTACAATGGTGGAAAGTAAATGTGATAGTTCAATCTGTTTTAAAAACCCTAAACAGTATGAGCCTAAATTTGAGTATTGGTATTTTGGAATCGTCTCATCACTAGTGTTAAGTGTGGGTTAAGTTACAGTTCTAGATCCTGAAGATGTGAAATATACACTGGAATATGTGAAGGTTTTGTTTATCTATTTGGTTTAGCAGTTTGAATAGAGAAACTTCTTTTTATGGTTCTTATGGCTGACTTTTGGTGTGTAGTAATTGATTTAAGTTTCTTCTTGTTTATCTCCAAGCCCAGATATCTAGGTGTATGCCTGGAAATTTTCTTTTGGCTTTCCTTTATTTTTTTTTAACACGTCAGCTGTTTCCTACTGAAGCAGGGTGACCCAAAAAGAAAGAGAAACCCAAGAAAAAGGAAAAAACTTTCATCTTTCAACACTTTCACCATCATTCATACATAATCACTGTCTTTGCAGAGGCACTCAAATACAACAGTTTAGATGTCACTCCAAACAGCCAATATCCCAAACCCCTTCTTTAAAGTGCAGGCATTGTACTTCTCACCTCCAGGACTCAAGTCATGCTAACCGGTTCCCCTGAATCCCTTCACAAAATATTGCCCTTCTCACATTCCAACAGCTCGTCAGGTCCCAAAAACCATTCATCTCCATTCACTCCTATCTAACATGCTCACGCACGCTTGCTTTCCTTTATAAGAACATAACATAAGAAAGAAGGAACACTGCAACAGGTATTTTTATATTGGGTATTATTTATTTTATGCTTTATCTAGTTGGTTAATTTGTTTCTAATAGTATGTGTTACATCTTTTCTATATTGTTGTTATTTGGATATACATTTTTTAAAGTTTGTTTACTATGTTTACTGTGGGATTTATAACATTATCACAATACTATACTGAACAGTAATCAAATGATTTCTTTCAGGATCTCCTAAATGTTGTTCGACCAACCTCATTAATATCTCCTGATCAAATTTTGGATGCAATAAAAGCCAAAAATGAGTCCAGGGACATGGACCTCCAGTATCGAGGCTATTTAAGTAAGTTTAATACTGCAGCCTCTCCTCGCTTAATCGGCAGAGCTCCATTCTTAAAACCATGTCGGTAAACAAATTCGTCACTAAGTGAGGAGCATACTGTAATGGTAGTGGGTTTGTGTCACCCATCTTTGATATTGTTTTAATGTCACCTTTGCATCATTTATAACATTTCTGGTTTATTTTTAAATGTTTATACAGTAATGTACTGTATATTGTAATAATCAGAATAGAGGAAATCAGCTCTAATATACATTATTTAGGTGTGCATACTGGCCAGAGAGCCCATCGTAAGTCTGAGTCGTCGGTAAACGAGAACGTAGCTAAATGAGGAAAGGCTTTATTCTAACACAGGCAGAGTACCAGAGCTGCATACAAATACTTGATAACATAAAGCAATTCTATAATCAAAACTATGTATGGACCAGCAGATCAAATCTATGTAATTACTTTTTTGTAAGTCTTGTATTTATTTGTACTTTCAGAAGTAAAGCTGTGCTTGTGGTGGTTTTGTTTTTTAATCACAGTTAATTTTTTTCATTTATAGTAGTTGTAGCACACATTTCTTCTGGAGACCATTCCGGCCATCTACTGAAGTTTTAAAAGAAATCCTTTACTGTATTTTTCATTATTTTTTATCCATTTTTAAATTGGTGACTTACTGTTCCTGTTGCTGATACAAAATATCTTCTGCATAGTGATTAAGTATGAATGATGGTGAAATTGTGTGTTGAATGATGATGAAAGTTCTTTCTTTCTTTTTTGGGTTACTCTGCCATTGTGGGAAACAGCCGACATGTTAAAAAAAAGAAATAATTCTGTGTCTTATTTTCGAAAAAAAGCACTTATAGATTTAAGAATATAAGAAAGAACACTGCAGCAGGCCTACTGACCCATGCAAAGCAGGTCCATGTCAACCCCTGGCTTAGACCAATGACCCACCTAGTCAAGTCACTTCCACTAAGGAAGGAGCATGGCATCAGACCTTATAGTACATGCTAGTGAGGTCCAACTCGCACCCACCCACACCTACTCGTGTATTTATCTGACCTATTTTTAAAACTACACAACATTTTTGCTTCTATGACGGTACTCAGGAGTTCCACTCATCCACAACTCTATTACCAAACCAGTGCTTTCCTATATCCTTCCTGAATCTTAATTTTTCCAACCTGAAACCATTGCTGGGAGTCCTGTCTTGGCTGGAAATTTTCAGCACGCGAGGCTCAGGTTAGGGTGTGTAGAAGAGAGGGAGACTATTTCCCGGTAGAAGTAGGTCTTGGACAGGGATGTGTAATGTCACCATGATTGTTTAATATATTTATAGATGGGGTTGTAAAAGAAGTAAATGCTAGGGTGTTCAGGAGAGGGGTGGGATTAAATTATGGGGAATTAAATACAAAATGGGGAGTGTCACAGTTACTTTTTGCTGATGATACTGTGCTTATTGGAGATTCTAAAGAAAACTTGCAAAGGTTAGTGGATGAATTTGGGAGTGTGCGTAAAGGTAGAAAGTTGAGAGTGAGCATAGAAAAGAGTAAGGTATGAGAGTATCAAATGATTTAGATAAAAAAAATTGGATATCATATTGGGGAGGAGAAGTATGGAAGAAGTGAATGTTTTCAGATATTTGGGAGTTGATGTGTCAGCAGATGGATTTATGAAGGATGAGGTTAATCATAGAATTGATGAAGGAAAAAAGGTGAGTGGTGCATTGAGGTATATGTAGAGGCAAAAAAATGTTATCTATGGAGGCAAAGAAGGGAATGTATGAAAGTATAGTAGTACCAACACTCTTATATGAGTGTGAAGCTTGGGTTGTAAATGCTGCAGTGAGGAGGCGGTTGGAGGCAGTGGAGATGTCCTGTCTAAGGGCAATGTGTGGTGTAAATATTATGCAGAAAATTCGGAGTGTGGAAATTAGGAGAAGGTGTGGAGTTAATAAAAGTATTAGTCAGAGGGCTGAAGAGGGTTTATTGAGGTGGTTTGGTCATTTAGAGAGAATGGATCAAAGTAGAATGACATGGAGAGCGTATAAATTTGTAGGGGAAGGAAGGAGGGGTAGGGGTTGTCCTCGAAAAGGTTGGAGGGAGGGGGTAAAGGAGGTGTTGTGGGCGATGGGTTTGGACTTCCAATAAGCGTGCGTGAGCGTGTTATTTAGGAGTGAACGGAGACAAATGGTATTTGGGACCTGACGAGCTGTTGGAGTGTGAGCAGGGTAATATTTAGTGAAGGGATTCAGGGAAACTGGTTATTTTATATAACTGGACTTGAGTCCTGGAAATGGGAAGTACAATGCCTGCACTCTAAAGGAGGGGTTTGAGATATTGGCAGTTTGGAGGGATATATTGTGTATTATTATACGTATATACTTCTAAACTGTTGTATTCTGGGCACCTCTGCAAAAATAGTGATTATGTGTGAGTTAGATGACAGTGTTAAATGATGATGAAAGTATTTTCTGTTTGGAGATTTTTCTTTCTTTTTGAGTCACCCTGCCTCGGTGGGAGATGGCTGACTTGTTAAAAAAAAAAAAATCATATTCCCCCTAATTCTATGCCTTTCTAGTCTAGAGAGTACAGATTCAGGGCCCTCAGTCTGTCCTCATAGATAAGATTACTGATACATGGGATCAACATTGTTATCCTCCTTTGTATGTTTTCCAGTGCATTTATATCCATTCTGTAACTGACCGGAGTTTTGAGACTCTGATCGCGGGATCTATCCTCGCCTGTGGTATGGTTTCCATTCTGTAATACGGTGATGAGATCTCTGCAGCATAATCCAAATGAGGCCTAACCAAGGTTATATAGAGTTGAAGTACAACCTGAGGACTTCTATTATTTATACTTCTTGATATGAAGCCAAGGATTCTGTTAGCTTTATTGTGAACAGTAATGCACAGTTGCCTTGGTTTTAGATTACTACTAACCAGAACTCCTATATCCTTTTTGCAATCAGTAGTATTAAGATCAACATTATTTACTTTATATGTGGCATGGTTATTTTCCTGTCCAACATTTAGAACTTTGCATTTGTCTATATTAAACTGCTTCTGCCACTTCTCTGACCATTGCATCAGTCTATTCAAATCATCCTGGAGTGCTCTAATGTACTCATTAATTCCATAAATTTTCCTACTTTGGAGGTTAGGCTTATTGGTCTATAGTTTGAAGGTAAGGACCTGTCACCTGCCTTGTAAATAGGTATTACATTTGCCATTTTCCACTTATCAGGCACTATGCCAGTTTGACGTGCTATGTTGAAACGATTAGCCAAAGGTTTACTAATGTTTCTGTTATGTTTGTTTGCTTATTATAGCTGATTGCTGCAGAATCCATTTTGCTGCACACTTAGATTTTCTTATTTTGTCTTGTTTCTTTAGGTTTGGCCACTATACTATAATTGCATATATTTTTTTTTTTTTCAACAAGTCGGCCGTCTCCCACCGAGGCAGGGTGACCCAAAAAAGAAAGAAAATCCCCAAAAAGAAAATACTTTCATCATCATTCAACACTTTCACCACACTCACACATTATCACTGCTTTTGCAGAGGTGCTCAGAATACAACAGTTTAGAAGCATATATGTATAAAGATACACAACACATCCCTCCAAACTGCCAATATCCCAAACCCCTCCTTTAAAGTGCAGGCATTGTACTTCCCATTTCCAGGACTCAAGTCCGACTATATGAAAATAACCGGTTTCCCTGAATCCCTTCACTAAATATTACCCTGCTCACACTCCAACAGATCGTCAGGTCCCAAGTATCATTCATCTCCATTCACTCCTATCTAACACACTCATGCACGCTTGCTGGAAGTCCAAGCCCCTCGCCCACAAAACCTCCTTTACCCCCTCTTTCCAACCCTTTAACATTTCCTCATTTGTGTACTGTTCTTATTTGTCCTCTTTTTCTTAAAATGTGTACAGTATTTTCTATTACCAAACCTCTTTCTATATGTAATTCAGTTAGAGGCCCCACATCATCATTTACTCCTGGCACTCCAAGCTTACTATGTACTTCATTTACAACAATCTCCCGCTTTAGCATTTAGGTTCCCCAAATCAATTATTCTTTCACTGGGTTGAAAACTCCTAAACATTTGCTTAACACATCCCAAAGTCTCTCTCCCCTCAACAGTAGTCCAGCCAAGATTTCATTCTGGGAGGGACTTAAGCCAAAATTTCAGTTTAGGGAGGGCTGAGAAATGTTAAGATAATAAAGAATTGGCTTTAAAAACATGAGTTTCAGTATGTATGTGAAATTTATTTAACTGTCATGCTTTTGGTCTCTAGTCAATATAATACAGTGAAATTTAGCCATTAATAGAAAAAATAAAATGTATGATACCCTCCTCACACTTCTCTCCCCCTTAGGTGCATGACACTTACTATAACCCCACTTCTTATATCTCACCTTTATTCTGATCAACATGTGCTCCTTATTTTCTTTCCAATTTAATCATTTAATATTTTTAATATTTTTATATTTAATATTTAATATTTTTTTAACACGGCTGTTTCTCGCCAAGGCAGGGTGGCCCAGAAGAAAGAAAACCCCAAAAAAGAAAGAAAAAACTTTCATTATCAGTCAACACTTTCACCATCACTCATACATAATCACTGTCTTTGCAGAGGTGCCCAGATACAACAGTTTAGATAGTCACTCCAAACTGCCAATATCCCAAACCCCTCCTTTAAAGTGCAGGCATTGTACTTCCTATTTTCAGGACTCGAGTCTGGCTAACCAGTTTCCCTGAATCCCTTCACTAAACATTACCCTTCTCACACTCCAACAGCTTGTCAAGTCCCAAAACCACTTGTCTCCATTCACTCCTATCTCACACGCTCGCATGTGCTTGCTTTATGTCCAAGCCCCTTGCACACAAAACCTCTTTTACCCCCCCCTTCCCTCCATTTCCTAGGATGATGCCAACCCCACCTTCCCTCCACTACAGACTTATACACCCTACAAGTCATCCTGATGTACTCCATATTCTCTAAATGACCAAACCACCTCAACACCACCTCCTCAGACCTCTAAATAATATTTTTAGTAACTCTACACTTCCTCCTGATTTCCACACTACGAATTCTCTATAATATTTACACCACATATTGCTCTCAGACATGATATCTTCACTGCCTCCAGCTTCCTCCTAACTGCAGCATCACAACCCATGCTTCATACCCATATAAGAGTGTTGGTACCTCTATACTTAAATATATTTCCTTCGTTGCCTCCCTGGATAATGCCTTTGTCTCTGCAGATACCTCAATGCACCATCTACCTTTTTCCTTTCATCATTTCTGTGGTTTATCTCATCCTTCATATACCCATCCACTGACACATCCTCTCCCAAATATCTGAATATGTACATTCACTTCTCCCATACTCCCTCTCTCCAATCTGATTTCCAATTTTTCTTTACTTGTTTGATATCCTCATTACCTTACTCTTCTCTGTGTTCACTTTCAACTTCCTTTACACACCCACTTATATATGTATATTTTCAGTGCCAGGAGAAAATGTAGCTGTCCCTAGTAAAGGCGCCCATGTACTTCAAGGAGAGATGCGAGCAAATCTTTTAGATGGAAATGTTTCAACTTATGATATGGATCGTGGCTTTACAAGACACCCTATAGATGATAATAATGGTCAAGGTATACTAATCAAACTGGGAATGCAATGTATTATCAATCACATGAGAATGATGCTTTGGGACAAAGATCAAAGGTAAGAATTACTGTCTGAACAGTTAACATGGTATGATTAGTCAGACAGAAGGATAAAATATATTGGAGGGAGACATTAAAAGTTAACATACAATTATTAAATTTTAATTTTTGAAAAATAATTGTTCATTTTAAGTTTGAATGGATTTTGTTTTATAGAAGGATGGAATTCAGATTTGTTGGTATAATATTTATGGTTGTAGTAAACCTAGTTGTGAATTAATAATAGGCAAAGATAATTTTTGACAGGAGCTAATATTTCCCAGTATTAACCCTTTCACTGTTCAGACCCCCAAAATTAATACTGCTCCCAGTATTCACTTTAAAAAGAAAAAGAATTTCTTATGCTATGGTAGGGATTCTTTCTTCTGAATGTAATAACACTAAAAGTATGAAGCTTGATGGAAAGCTTACAGTGTAAAGTTAGCAATTTGCACACAATTTATACATTGGCAATTTCACCAAATGAGTCCTATTTTAAGTCAGTTGCATTCCTATATTTGATCAGATCCTAGGCAAAAATAATTGACAGAATAGGAGACTATTACTTTGACATTTTCTTAGAGTTTTTTATATTCTTAAAGAAATGTGTTTATGTGAGGCCTTCAGTGTTTATATTAGATTAACTAACTTTGTTAAAAAAAGTTATAAGAGAAGCTAATTTAGTGGTAGATAAAAAATTTAGTCTGACACTAGTACTGGTATGATTACAAATTTTTGTTGATGTTGCTACCGATACTCAATTTTAGACCGATGCTGATACCATCAAAATTAGCTAATACCATTAATACTGATAATGATAATTTGGCACATCCCTAATTTGACACAGATACTCACCATTTTTATGTTGTTCATTATTCAGTTATCTTATAATGGCCTAGTCTAAATATTTTCATGATGTTTGAATTAGTGTCATTTTTAGTTATGTACAGTATTTTATGTTAATGTACATGTCACAATATATTAATAATTATTTCTGTCTTGCAGAGGATACTCTTATTATATTGAAGTCTCAATGGATCAGAAAGACTGGGTTCGAGTTGTCGACCACACTCGCTATCACTGCCGCTCTTGGCAGTATCTTTACTTTAGTCCAAGAGTTGTCAGGTATATTCGCATTGTTGGGACAAACAACACTGTTAATCGTGTTTTTCATGTGGTGGCCTTTGAAGCTTATTTCTCTAAACATGAAGTGGAACTGCATAAAGGACTTGTAGGTAGGTAGTTTTTTTTTTTTTTTAGTTAGGCTATTTAAAATTGTGAAAACACAAGGGAAAAATAATGGTTTCAAGTGGTTCTGTATTTCAGTAATTTATTTTGGTTTTCATATAAATGATAATTTATAATTCTGGTAAGTAAATACAATTTTGTATTATATGTAATCTAAAGATACTTTTACTAATTCTCGCAGATGATAGTGTCTTTTCTTGTTATTCATATACTGATTTTTTAATACGGTGGTACCCCGAGTTTCGTACAGCTCCCAACTCGAAGAATTATGTAAGTATATTATTGTAAGCCTAGGTAGTTGGTTGGTAAACAGCAACCGCCCAGGGAGGTACTACCGTCCTGCCAAGTGAGTGTACAACGAAAACCTGTAATTGTTTTACATGATGGTAGGATTGCTGGTGTCTTTTGTCTGTCTCATAAACATGCAAGATTTCAGGTATGTCTTGCTGCTTCTGCTTGCACTTAGGTCACATTACACATACATGTACAAGCATATATATACACACCCCTCTGGGTATTCTTCTATTTTCTTTCTAGTTCTTGTTCTTTTTTATTTACTCTTATCTCCATGGGGAAGTGGAACAGAATTCTTCCTCCGTAAGCCATGTGTGTTGTAAGAGGCGACTAAAATGCCGGGAGCAAGGGGCTAGTAACCCCTTCTCCCGTATAAATTATTAAATTTAAAAAAGAAACTTTCGTTTTTCTTTTTGGGCCACCCTGCCTTGGTGGGATATGGCCGGTGTGTTGAAAGAAAGGAAAGAATATTATTGTAAGTGCTTTTCTAAGTGTATTTTTTGGGGTCTAAAATGGACTAATCTAATTTACATTATTCCTTATGGGAACAAATTCATTCGGTAACGGCACTCGAACAGCCTTCTGGAATGAATTATGGCCGAAACTCTGGGGACCACTGTATTTTCAAAACAGTTATTTGAAGTAGAGAAACTGCTTTTTGTGAACCTCTTAAAACACCCATAATAGACTATTATTACTTTTTCCCAATTACTCTTCCATTATCTCTTTGTGTACTTGCACACCCGAGTCTCCTTGTTATCTGGTCAGTCATTTGTAAATCCTTTGCTCCAAGCTCCTTAAGACCATAGAGTAATAGCTCTTAAGAGGAGATGGATAGGTATAGTGGGAAAAGGAGGGAAATAGATTTTCAAATTTTTAACAAACATGTTACAAAGAGTGGTAGTGGTCAAAAGGGTCCAGTCATAATGTTCATTGGTGACCAGTGTCAACTGCTTTGGTATGGGAGCATTAAAGACCTCAAAATGAACACAGTACACAAAGCATAGACATTTGAGCTGGTTGGATATTTAGAAAGGATGGAAGAAAATAAGATGACTCAGGGTGTAAAAATTTGGAGTGGAAGGGAGGAGGGGTAGGGTCATCCCAGGAAAGGTTGAAAGGGAGGGGGTAAAGGATGTTTTAAGTGGTAGGTGATTGATATCCAGCTGGCTTGTGTGAGTGCATTAGATAGGGGCAAGTGGTTTGTTTCATGACTTGACATGCTGTTGGAATGTGAGCAAGGTAACATTTTGGAAGGAATCAGAGAAAATGGTTACAATAACTTGAGCCCTGGAAGTGAGAAGTACATGGCCTGCACTCTGAAAGAGGGATGGGGATTTTGCAGTTTGGAGGGCCATCTGAACTGTGATGTCAGCATGCTGCCGGTAAAATAATGATTGAATGAGTGACAGTGAAAATTTTTCCTATTTCGGGTCACCCTCCCTCAGTGTAAGATGGCTTGTATGTTAAAATCTAAATAATGTAAATCTTAATCAAACTGGTTGTGATAAAGATTTCTAAGTTCTGGTTAGAAGACATCTAAAGCCAAGATTATAGTACATAATTTCTTGCAATAAAGTTGATAGAATTCTTGACTTCATAATCAAGAAGTACGTATAAATAATAGAAGTCCTCAGTTTATACTTCAACTTTATACTGTAAATCCTTGGTAAGGTCCCATTTAAATCATGCTGTTCAGTTCTGGATGTAATTGCTCTAGAAATTTTTTTTTGTGAAGATCAACAAGTGTAGCATTATGGAGGATATAAGTGAGGTGTACAAATGGAAATAACAAAAAAAGGTACAATACTGTGACTGAAACAATACACACATAACCCACACATAGAAGCGAGGAGCTTAGGACGATGTTTTGGTTCAACTTGGACCATTTACAAAGTCACACAAACAAAAATAAGGGAAGGCGGGAGTATGTGTATAAGCCGGCAGACATTGACGGGAGCAAGAGCAAGTGGTGGCCTATATATACTCTCTCCTTTTTGTCAGTGCAACTTTGTAAATGTGCAGGTTATTTGTGTACAAATGAAAAGCTGTAGTAAACAAATAAATATACTGTACTGTATAAATACAGACAGGCCTCTCATAACACAGATTCTGGGAGCATGTGTTTATTAGAATGCTAATCATACATATATTGCAACATTACTATATCACAGTTCTCGCCTGTGTTTAATGCAGCTAAAGTTTGAAAAAAATTTAATTTGAGTTGGTTGCCACTTGGAAAATTCCCTCCACTGATAAGTTGGTGGAAAAAATTGAAATCAGGCTGGTTCCTACATGGAAAATTTCTCTCTCCTACCATAGGCATCTCCATTGTTTTAGGGAGGCACAGCTTCACTGTCTTCCATTTTCCCTGTTTACACTCATGGTCCACCCATATGGTCAGTTTGTGGCTGCATCTCATACCATTCTATCTAGCATGTTTGTCCCTCCATGTTCTCATTTCTAGATATTAGTGCTGGTAGGTGGTCATAGGTGATAGGGCTGGTATCATCCACAAGGGATGACAAAAGCTGTGGTTGGCATTTTTGTTTGTTGTGACAATGAGAAATGGTAAAGGCATGAACTTCATGCCTTGGGTTACTGAACTTGCATAGTTGCTTTTCATTAAGTAATTATTATTGTCATTTCTTTCCACAGTTCCAACAGAAAATGTTGCACTTGTTACCAAAAGTGCACTGGTAATTGAAGGAGTAAGTCGTGCCCGCAACAATCTTTTAAATGGAGATATTCACCATTATGACTGGGATTCTGGCTACACCTGCCACCAGCTAGGCTCAGGATCCATATGTGTTCAGCTAGGACAGCCTTATTGGCTTTCCTCTTGCAAGTATGTACACCATTGTGGAATGTCTCCTCTCTCCATTATATGTCTGTATTTAAGTCTTGGTGCATTTTCTGTTATATATTTTTTATAAAATATTTCCTACTCCACTTACATTAATAAAATTGAATGATTCATGTTTTTTAATATAATAATTGCAATAATTAAAACTGTTAAAACATTTAATTTTGTTGTCACTTTTTTGGTATCACATCTTAAACCAATAGCAATTCACAAGTTTTTAGAAACCGTCACTAGTATTTAATTCTAGTGTGTGTTCTGCTTTTTTTAAGGAGTTAATTAATTTTTGAGTAGTTGAATTTCTTACTTGGGTGCTGCAAGGGCTAAATCACTATCATTATCCTTATTTACATTTTCAATAAAAATAAAATTGATCTCATGCTTTAAGTTATAATATAATTTTAATGCTCTTCCCACTCCCTTTAATTTGTTGTTTCTTAGTTAATTAGCTGATCACTGCAGTATCGTCAGGTCAGATACTTTTTCTCCACCCCAAGAGTTTTAGTATATGTACCAGCAATATAACCTAAGTACTGTAGTAGGTTGGTAGACAGCAACTGCCCAGGGAGGTACTATCGTTCTGCCAAGTGAGTGTAAAACGGAAGCCTGTAATTGTTTTACACGATGGTAGGATTGTTGGTGTCCTTTTTTTCTGTCTCATACACGTGCAAGATTTCAGGTACGTCTTGCTACTTCTACTTACACTTAGGTCACACTACACATACATGTGCAGGCATATATGGCATAAACCTTGGTGTTAGAAGTATGTTAGAAGTGATCAAGGTCCCAGGACCGAAACGTTTTCTAATAAATATGTCAGTGTTTGCTTACGTATCTTTCTAAACCAACAGGCATATATATATATATATATATACACACCCGTCTGGGTTTTCTTCTATTTTCTTTCTAGTTCTTGTTCTTGTTTATTTCCTCTTATCTCCATGGGGAAGTGGAACAGAATTCTTCCTCCATAAGCCATGCATGTTGTAAGAGGCGACTAAAATGCTGGGAGCAAGGGGCTAGTAACCCTTTCTGTATAAATTACTAAATTTAAAAAGAGAAATTTTCTTTTTTCTTTTTGGGCCACCCTGCCTTGGTGGGATACGGCCGGCTTGTTGAAAAAAAAAAAAAGTAATATAACCTAGATAGTAGGTTGGTAGACAGCAACTGCCCAGGGAGGTACTACCGTCCTGCCAAGTGAGTGTAAAACGAAAGTCTGTAATTGTTTTACATGATGGTAGGATTGCTGGTGTTGTTTTTATGTCTTGTAAATTTGCAAGATTTCAGGTAGGCCTTGCTACATCTACTTACATTAAGGTCACACTACACAAACACATGCATGTTTTTTTTTTTTTTTAACAAGTCGGCCATCTCCCACCGAGGCAGGGTAACCCAAAAAGAAAGAAAATCCCCATAAAGAAAATACTTTCATTATCATTCAACACTTTCACCTCACTCACACATAATCATTGTTTTTGTAGAGGTGCTCAGAATACAACAGTTTAGAAGTATATATGTATAAAGATACACAACATATCCCTCCAAACTGCCAATATCCCAAAACCCCCTCCTTTAAAGTGCAGGCATTGTACTTCCCATTTCCAGGACTCAAGTCTGGCTATATAAAATCACCGGTTTCCATGAATCCCTTCACTAAATATTACCCTGCTCACTCATGCATGTATGGGCATATATATACAGACCCTTCTGGGTTTTCTTCTATTTTTCTTACTAGTTATTGTTCTTGTTTATTTCCACTTATCTCCATGGGGAAGTGGAACAGAATTCTTCCTCCGTAAGCCATGTGTGTCGTAAGAGTTGACAAAAATGCTGGGAGCAAGGGGCTAGTAATCCCTTCTCCTGTAGATATTACTGAATGTAAAAGGAGAAACTTATGTTTTTCTTTTTGGGGTACCCCGCCTCAGTGGGATACGGCCGGTGCGTTGAAAGAAAGATAGACCAGTAATATAAATCATTGTAGCATAGAAGGGAGAATTCCAAGAAGAATATTCCCATTTTTATATTTATATTATGTGCTAAACCCATGTGAGGTCATTCCGTGCAGTATATTAACCCGCAAACGGTCCAAACGTATATATACGTTTTTACCGCTAATGCCCGGAATATTTTGAATTTTTTTTTATAGAAATGAAGAGCACATTTTTGTGTTATGGGATAAATTTTTTTTTTTTTAAAGTCAGTACTTACCAAGATACGAGGTCACAAATTTGGCACTTAGTGATCATCTCACAACATTGAGTCCTGCTGCTTGCAGAAATGTTGCCAATATGCCTTTTTTTCTCATTTCTAAATTATTTTATGTAATTTTTATGTTCTGATAATTACAATTTATAGTAGTTCTTGTCATTTCATAACCAATCTTTGTTCTGACACTAATATTAAATACTGAAATTGTACTCAAATTGTCACAAACACATTGACAGATGGACATTTACATCTTCCTTGGTCATTTACTATTGTCTAGGAATATATACAAAGTATTTATAAGTCCCAGCAATGTTTTGGATAAGCGGAAGGAAGAAGAAGAAGAAGAAGAAGAAGAAGAAGAAGAAGAAAGAAGAAGGAAGAAGTAAGGATGAATGGGAGAGTGTTGGCACTTGGAGAAGAAGTTGATATTCTTGGGGTGAAATTTGACTCCAAACTAACCATGAAGAACCATGTTGTAAATCTTTGCAAACAAGGCAGCCAGGAAGCTTACAGCACTTCGCCATATCTCGCATCTGCGTGACAGTAGGGGTTGCAAGACTGTACGAGGCACAAGTACGCTCACATGTTGAGTGTGCTCCACTTTCTTGGTTTGCCTGCCCTCCTCTCATCTGCGACTTCTTGACAGAGTAGAGAACAGAGCAAGACGTCTCATCTCTCACCTGACCCATCCTGGATAGATCTGTCATTTCAGCAGAGCCTTCAACACAGGAGAGATGTGGGTGGCCTTACTGTTATGTACAAGGCCAATATTGTCAAAGTACCACACTTGGATCCACTTCGAGGACAGCGTGAAACGAGCTTTTATGCCACAAGACGGGCAGAAAGCAGCTACTTCACTCTGGCTGTACCCTTCTCCAGGACATCACTCCATCTGAGATCATATATACCCAGGATGACTTGAGTATGGAACATATTTGTACAGCATAATGATGTCAACGAGATAGTCAATTGATCAAATGAAAATGCTGGCCCACAGATGGTTCCAACTTCATCCTGTTCCCTACTTGTATGTCTTTCTTTCAACACACCGGCCGTATCCCACTTAGGCGGGGTGGCCCAAAACGAAAAACGAAAGTTTTACCTTTTACATTTAGTAATATATACAGGAGAAGAGGTTACTAGCCCCTTGCTCCCGGCATTTTAGTCGCCTCTTACAACACGCATGGCTTTTGAAGGAAGAATTCTGCTACTTGTATGTCTCATAACAATAAAAACGTTTTCAAATGAGCTGATGTAGGCAACAGCTCTTAGCTTGCCAATCAAGTTAGGAATCCTTAACCTGTAATAGCTTGTCAATAAACCTAGGGATCCTTAGCCTTGTCAAACCCTGTGTAAAAAAAAAAAAAAAAAAAAAAAGGAAGAAGAAAAAGAAGAAGTTCCCTTGAAGCATGATGTGTAAGACATATGATGAGTGCCAGTGATGAGATGAGATAAGGGTGACATTTTGATGAGTGCTGGCAGGGTCCAGTGATAAGATGAGATAATTGGTCACATTTGATGAGCTTAGCACCTCTGTCTCTGCTTATCTGTCTTTCTGCTTGTGTCTGTGTCTCAGAGAGAGCCACTGTGAACCAACAGGTATTCTTACGCATTATATCTACAAACACAGTATAGCACTTTGGATTTTTTGGGTTATCCTAGATAATTTAGACTATGTATAATTGTATTTACGTTTACCTATGAGACAGAGACAGACAGAGATAGACACATTCCAGAATTGTATCTCTTTACTTAGGGCATAGGTTGTAGGACATTCTGAAAGGGTGTTGCACAAATGTTGCACATGGGTTATTATCGAGGTTTTTGATATTTCCTCGACCACTTGTGGCCACATCCACCTCAAAGCCACTAAACTTGGGGTCAACATCACTTTCCTCTTAAAAGAGGAGTGTTTATATGACACGACAACAGTGAATCCTTGGTGTTTGCCTCACTGTTTTCTCTAGCTGACACTCAGTTTAACTGGTGCTCCCACAAGGTAGTAAGTGGTCCCAAATTTTTTTAATACAGTACACACTAAAAGTTAAGACACATTCTAAGCTGACCAGGCATCTTAGGCCAGTTGTCCCAAAAGTTTGGGGCACTAGCATAAGAACGTATGTATACGTTTGGACCATTTATGGGTTAAAGGAAGAAGGGGTTAGTGTTAGGAGTAGATAGGAAGCAGTATTGAGGCTAAGTACAAAGATGAGAAAAGTTTATTGTAGATATAGCAGATCACTTTTAGTTAAAATGTTGTGGAGAATCTGTATTGGTGGAACTCTCAAAGAAAAAAGTAGACACAGTAAGTACACCGACCATCCGACTTACGACCTGCTCAACTTACGACCGCTCAACTTAGGACCATGTTTTTTATGCCAAATTTCTGGGAAATAAACAACTATTTGTGTTGTACACAGTGTTTATCCTAAACCTTACAGTATAAAATACAGTACTAACAGCATAAAAAGTAAAGTAAAACATGAAATACCAAAATAAAACAATAAAATAAAGTCATTACAAAAATGTTTTGTTGATATTCAGTAGTAAAGTTCGACTTACGACCATTTCGACTTACGACCGGTTTCTCGGAACCGAACTCGGTCGTAAGTCAGATGGTAGGTGTATCCAGTTTCATAGTGTCCGCCTTAGGTTAATAATCAAAACAGTATTTCCTCTCTGCCAGACTTATTAAAGCCATGTAGCATGAATTAATAAGATATTCAATTCTCTTGTATTCATTGTAAACTCACCTAATGACCATATGTACAAAATTA